TAGACACAGTGCAGTCCGATAAGTTTTTAAACTTCCTGCTGAGTATGGTTCCAGTAATTTACCAGAAAAACCAGGACGACAGGCACAAGAAAGCGAACGGCATTTGGCAGGATGGACTGTCGACGGCGGCGCAGACTTTTGGCGCGCGGTCCGAGCCACGCGTGGAGTATCACAGCTTCTCGGAGCAGAGCTTCCACGGCCACGGCGGGCGCCCGCCGTCGGGCGGCAGCCAGACGTACGACGACTACGCCAACTACAACTACTGCGACGGCGAGGAGGCCTCGGAAACCTCTGCCATGCTGCAGGCCGAAGATGTGTCGAGTGATGGGGAGGAAGACGTCCTGTTGGAAGCGAGCCCGAAGGTCCCGAAGGAGTCCAGCGGCGTGATGGCACTGCAGATACTGGTGCCGTTTCTGCTCGCTGGTTTCGGAACAGTTTCCGCTGGCATGGTTTTGGATATAGTCCAGGTAGGTTTTCATCCGTAACTTCGCCCTTTTCGTTATTTAAAGTTCCATACGCAGGCTACTCATCTCAAACATTTACTTTGGATTCACGTTACTGCTTAGTAAAATGAACTGATGTTGACTCTGGGAAAGAATTTGCTCTTTGTAGGTGCTTTTCTGTTTGTTTTCCATTAGAAGTTCTAAGAGAATAGTCTTGCTCTGACCATACAGTGTATCTTCATGAAGGATTGCGATAATGAAGTTACCCTAAAATGGGTTCAAACAATACAGAGTGTTAAATTAAAGACAAAAAGTCTTCCTATTCCTCATGTCCAAACCACACTCTCCCTCCACAGGTTACCATCGCTATGTGTACATTGTTGTGGACACTTGCAGGCTTTTCTGTGCAGACGTGTGTGCATTTGGGCAGAGCTTTTATTTTTCAAAAATAAAAATGAAATGCTATACATATTTTTCTGCAACTTCTGTTCATTGCTTAATAATACATCTTGAACATCTTTTCAAACTAGTAACACAGATATTCTGCATTTTAAAATGAATGCTTGATGTTTCATTGTATGTATATGCCAAAATTTACTTATTCATTTCCCCACGCTGATGCTTTAATACATATCTTTATAAATATATTTTTATAATCTTATGCTAATGTTTTCATAAAATAGATTTTTTAAAAATTGCTAGACCTCAGGGTAGGTATATGTGTTTAAAATTTAATAGGTCCTATTCAATTGCCTTTTAAGTAGTTTGTACCAGTAAGTACTTTTATTTTTCTATGCCTTTATCAACATTGGATTGTCTTGTTTTTTGTTTTTGACAATTGATAGGAAAATGTTATCACATTTTTGTTAACATTCTTAAATTATCATTTAGTATTTTTTCATTGGCTCTTTTTATTTTTTTCTGTTAATATATATGAATTACTTTTTTGTGTCTTTTATCCATTTTTAAAATGTTTGAGGTCTGTCCAGAAGGTATCCAGCCACGTACTGTGAAAAATAGAGGCATTTATTGAAGAAGATACAAGATACAAGAAACATTGTATATAAGACAATGGAACCTTAGTCCTCTTCAAAGTAGGCGCCTTGAGACGTCATACAGGTCTCCCAGTGGTCATCAGCTGTCCCATCATATTTTGCTGAATCTTATCAATGGTCTGAAATCTCTTTCCATTCAAGGGTGATTTCAGTTTTGAGAAAAGTCAGAAGTTGCAGGGCACCAAATTTGGGTGATATGGGGTCTCAGTTACCTGGGTGTTCGATGTTTCACCAAAAAACTCTGACACATTGTTGTGATGAAGCTGCCAGTCACCAGTTGCCCATAGCCGCGGCCTTCTGAATCTTCTGAAGAGTTTCTATGGAGGAGTGTTCAAGCTTAATGCAAAATTTGATGATTTGTTGTTCTACTTGCTCAATCATTTTGAATGCAACAGCCACACAATACACATGCTCACTCAACAGCATCTACCGTCCCCACTGACTAGTACAGTGAAGTTGTCATTGTTCACACATGTGCATTCCAGCCCACTCTCTCCTTCTCTGCCGAGTTTTATCCATGTTGCGCAAACCGTTCTCATTCTTTAATAATTGCTGGACTTTTTCTGGACAGACCTTGTATATGCTACTTACTGATTTGTAGTTCTTAATGTAGTATAGTAACAAAATTACCTATTATATAATTCTTTTTCTAAAGTAGAACATTGTTAAGCTCTCGCATTCTGTTACTATCAGCTTTTACTCGTCAGTCAGAGAAAGACTGGCTCTGGGAAAGTCTTAGATGCATTGTCTCGTAATGTGCTGGTCTTCCATTGTCTGCTCCCTAAAAGAAATGTCAGGTCCTTTGTGCCTCTGAGATGCTTTCAACAGTTAACATTGTTATCTAAGTGGAAAACTTACATAAGTAGAAACGTAATTTTTCCACCATCAGACAGAGAAAGAATATGTAGAGAACTGTGTTAAGAAGTATGTTGAGCCCTGGCTGGTGTGGCTCAGTGGGTTGAGCACCACCTGCAAATGGAAAGGTCGCTGGTTTGATTTCCAGTCAGGGCACATTATGGGCCGGGTCCCCAGTTGGGGGCTTGCGAGAGGTAACCGACTGATGTTTCTCTTCCTTTCTTTCTCCCTCCTTTTGACTCTCCCTAAAAATAAGTAAAAATAAAATCTTTTAAAAAAGAAGTATATTGAATTTTTGAATGAAATATATTCAAGGGGGCCCATACCTATCTGTTCACTTGAAATATAATTTTTTCAAGTTCCTATAGTAGTATCACAGTTGCTGGAGTCAATAAGCTAATTTGGTAGACTTTTTTTTTTGATGTACTAGTTATTGTGAAGAAGCACTAAACATTTAGCTATGGAATGGTATCCTATATAGGAATAATGTGTTACAGCATAGATTGTCAGGCAGAATGTTTACATAGCTCATTATGTAAATACATTCCTCTGGTGTAATGTTTACTTATTTCTTGATACTGTACTATTTGAGAGAACAGCACACGCATAATTGGAAAAAGCCGCTTTTGTGATTTTGTGAACTTTAATACATACCCCTAAGCCTTAGGACTTTAGAGTGGGTGTGTTGACCTGGTACCCAGCAAGTTGCTAAAATCATTTAGTAATTTTAACAATTTTTTCTTTACATTCTTTGGAATTCCTTCATCATAATCCTATTATCTATGAATAAATATGGTTTTATTTCTTTCTAAATCTTATACATTTGAACTCTTTTCCTTGCCATTCCGTACTGGCTAGGATTTCCAAAGTATTACACCATAAAAAGGAAGTGGTAAGAGCAGGGAACCTTGCCTTATTCCGGATCCCAGAGAATACGCTTTCAGTAGTTCGTCATGAAGCAGGGGGCTGGCTGTTGAGTTTTGTAATGTTCGCTATGAGATTAAGAAGATTGTTTTTTAGTTTGCTCAGGATTCTTTTTGTAAAATCATGACTGGAGGTTGAATTTTATCACATGCTTTTTCTTATATTTATTTTCTACTTTATTTCTTGCTATGTTGACTTGTATTGGTTAAGCCACCCTTATATTTCTGAGATAAATGTAACCTGGTCATGATTCGTTGTTGTTTGTATAAAATTCTGATTGTTAATATTTTGTTTAGAGTTCTGGCATTTATATTCATGTATAAGATTAGCCTATAACTGTCCTCATAATGGCATGGGCAGATTTCCTATTAAGGTAGTGCTCGTCTCTTAGATGAATTTGAAAATGTTCTCTGTTTACCTCCCACTCTTTTTAAAGTTTTATGTAACTGTCATTATTTCTTCCTTAAGTACTTGGTATAATTTCCTGATGAATGCATCTGGGCCTGCAGTTTTCTTTGTGGGAATATTTTTAATTACAGCTTGAGTTTCTTTAAAGATTGTATTTATTTATATTTAGAGAGAGGGGAAGGGAGGGTGAGAGGGAGAGAAACACCGATCATCAATCTGTTGCCTCTCACTTGCCCCCAGCTGGGGACCTGGCCTGCAACCCAGGCATGTGCCCTGACTGAGAGTCAAACTGGTGACCTTTTGGTTCGAAAACCAGCAGTCTGCGAATCCACTGAGCCACACCAGCCAGGGCACAGCTTGAGTTCCTTTAAAAGTCACAGGGCTCATCCAATTTTCTATTTCTTTTTGTGTTACTTTTGGTAAGTTTTCACGTTTTCTTTTAACTGTTACATCCCTAGAAGTATCCCTAGCAGTGGGTGGTTTAAACAACAGACATTTATTCTCACGGTTCTGGAAGCTGGGAAGTCCAAGGTCAAGGTGCAAATGAAAAGAGTGTCAAAAAGTTCTTTTTTTTTCTTTTTTCTTTTTTTCTTACAGCACTGGGAGGTGTTCAAAAAAGTAACAGAAGTTTTCATTTTAGTCCCTGCACTACTTGGTCTTAAAGGGAACTTGGAAATGACATTGGCATCTAGACTATCCACTGCGGTGAGTTTCCCCACCTGAAAGGATGTGTGGTGAAAACCATGTACACAGTTAGGCTCACTTCCATGAGCCATCTGCCCATGAATGTCAGCCAAAAATTAATTAAGCCATCAGGGAGTATTACTAATTGGTGTCTTGGAAGCCAGTTACATCGCTCCATTGTTACACTTTCAGATTCAAAATTTAAAAGACAGATTCCTCTCAAGTGATGATATGAAGCAGTAAGTACGTGTAAAAATATTAAAATAAACAATAAAAGTGAGGGCTACAATCTTAGGCTCATCTGAAAATACTTGAAATGCATCATCAGCAAGCAATGTGTGCAGCTTTAGTTTATGAAAGGATTTCAATGGAACTGCTCCATCACTGTCCACCAAATTTTCAAACCTAAGAATCAAAGAGGTAAGTTTTTATCTTGTCAAATATTACATGAGCGGAGAGAACGCCTAATGATTTGGCAACACCACCGTTCTCAGCAGTAGATTGGCCAAACCAGCCACAGATGGTCTTGGTTCTCTCGTTTGAGAGTGGGCGCCTCTACAGCGTTCAGAACAGGACGTCTGGTGGCCCCAGGATCAGTCTAGCAGCCCTCACTGTTAAGGAATTATTTCTAGTACTTGCTTCAGCAGCACATACACTAAAACTGGAATGATGCGGAGAAGATTAGCACGGCCCCCCGGCGCAAGGATGACATGCAAATTTGCGAAGCATTCCATGTTTTAAAAATACCGTTTCTAGAAAATTTAATAATAAAAGGGTGATACAATTTAAAACTTGCTTAAATGTCTTATTTTTTTAGTGTCCCAGAAATTCGTTATGGAATGGTCACATTGTATGCCACTGAATATTGACTGGAACACTTGGGCATTAGGCATCCAGCAGGAATGTGTGTCCAGCATTCCTTTAGCTTTTGTCTTAAAATAAAGCTGTTCTGTAGTTTCACCAAGGTGGTCGGAGTCAATCGTTGTATACACTTGAGTTCTGTGTGTCATCTTTTCCCAGTGATCTATGCATGCATTACGTTTTAGAAACTGGTGGATCACCCAGGTAGAACCCAATCCAAAAGGCTTTTTGGCAGGAGAGGAAAATAAAGAAAGATCGTGCAGAGTGTAGGCTTTTTTTGTTTGAGGGACTCCCCCAGCCCCTGGATCTCTTGGGGCAAAGACCCTACAGTCTCACCAGCTTGAGGTAAGGGAGTCAAAAAATGAAATGAAATGAAATGAAATGAAATGAAATGGGCAGAAATGTGAGAGGAGCCTATGCCTTAAAGACAAATATCCTAGCTAAAATTTGTGCGTGTTTGCTTTCCTGACTAAGTGCCTTCTGTGACTTATGCAGAGCTGTAGTGGCATAAAGTTGAAGTTTTGTTGGTTTGAATTATCAGGTAAATAGAGTTTGGAGGTGACAGAGCAGGTGGAAATTGGGGGAAATTGGGGGTGAATCCCAGCAGCAAGAGAAACCACCGAGAAGAGCCCCCCGAGTCTAGGTAGAAATCCTGCCCAAGCGTTTGGCTGGCTGTTGAACTGCGCAGGCGCCAAGGAGATCGCCAGAGGGCGAGGCTGAAAGCAGGAGCTGGGAGCTGAAAGAGCTGGGCAGAGATCTGAGCTGCTGCCCATGGAGAGGGACCCCTGGGTCTGTAGTGATGAGTCTGTGAAAATTAACCGCCCGTTGCAAGGGAAAGCCAGTAATCCTCAGAACAATGTAACAATCCCAGTCGTGGTGCATATTATTCTACTGTCTAGTTTTCAACCAGAAAATCGCTGCATGTGGAAAGAAACACAGAGGTGTGATGGATTTACATTCAGGAGAAGTGCAATTCCTATTTGCTCATTGGAAAGTGACTGGAAATGGGCCCAGATGTTGGATTTAACAACATTTTTCAAAGTTACTAGTATACATATGTTCAAAGAACTAAAGGGAAAAATGTTCAAATAATTAAACAAACATATATCTTAATGAGTGAACAGATGGGACATCTTAAGAATAATGGATACTATAGAAAAGAATCAAATGTATTATATTGGTGATAGTGGAAGAGAGGATTTGTGAATTTGAAGATAGAAATAGTCCAATATGAAGAATGGAGAGGAAAAAAATACTGAATATAAACAGAGCCTCAGATACCTGTGGACAATAAAATGATTTGAAACAAGTATATGATTTATTGATATGCTAAATATGGTCAAATGTTAATATTTGACAAAGCTAGGTGGTGGGAATATAATTGCTCGTTACTTTTAAAAGCAGTTACTGCTGTTTGATTTTATCTTACTTTTTTAAAAAGGATTTTATTTATTTATTTTTAGAGAGGGAAGGGAGGGAGAAAGAGAGAGAGAGAGAAACATCAATGTGCGGTTGCTGGGGACCGTGGCCTGCAACCCAGGCATGTGCCCTGGCTGGGAATCGAACCTGCGATGCTTTGCTTCACAGCCCGTACTCAATCCACTGAGCTATGCCAGCCAGGGCTTATCTTACTCACTTTTGAAAAAATTAACTTTGTCAAAGAGTTTTGATAGGGATTGCCTTAAATCTATAGATTGCTTTAGGTAATATGGACATTTTAACAATATGAATTCTCTCGATCCAGGAACAAGGAACATCTTTCCATTTTTTGTGTGTCTCCTTCAGTTTCTTTCCACAATGTCTAGTAGATCCCAGTGTCTCATACCTGTTTCTTGAACATGAACCCTGAGATAGTTTCACTCTTTGAACATTGCTTGTCCCTTATGACTCATCTGAGCAAAAACCCAAGTTGGCAAAACTACAAACACAAATTTCATCAAGAATTCAGATTTCCAGGCTTAGGAAAGAAATATACAAATTAAGACAGCAGGAATAATTGTTCTAACAGTTTTCTAGATTGGTACAGGAGATGTTGATGTGGCAGTTAACCTAATAGCCGGAAGACACTGAGCCAAACTCAGTTTGGCCATGGTTAAAACTACCCACAAATAATAACCCGTATATACTTTCCACTTTACCCATTTACCTATCTTCCATGACCAAGCAGTTGATGAAGAATTGAAGTCTTTCTCAGTATAGTATTTTTCATAATGAATGGTTGCTCATTGTTTTCCAAAAGACTGCATTAGAAAACTTGTCAGATTTGGATATACATTTTTTTTGAATCCTAAGTGGTTGATAAGTATGATTTGGCTTACAGTGCAATTTAATATGTGAACAATAATCTTTTTTGGAGAGTATTCTTCCACTCAGCTGAAAGATGTATAAACTTCAATAGGGCGATACGTGACCAAAACTCACATTGGACTGAGTGAGTGTTTTATTGTTAACAGGGTTAGTCATGACTCAAATATAAACTATGGACAAGTGAATGATTTGTTTATGTCTGGGGTTTTGGTCAATAATTCTTCAAATTATAGTACTTTCTCGATGTGGAATTAGATGCTAGCAGCTCAGAATTATGTATTTACATTGGGCCTAAATACATAAAATTTAGGATGGGCATTATGGCATTAGTTGTAAAATAACATTAGCAGATTAGCAGGCCGGCAGGTAATACTAGCTGGTCCACTAGTTCTCGTGAGCTAGTAATTAAGCAAAAAAAAAAAAAATCTTAAATGTCTCAGGCAACCTGCATGTGAGATGCAAGACTGGTAGTGAGTTCAGAGTTCTATTTAAAGTCTAATGTGAGTTCAGCAGATTTACTAAAGAATTACCTTTGGCTTTAAGACTTCACATGCTGTTTAACAGAATAGAGAACATATAGATTCTTCAGTGATAATATGAAAATTTCCACCTTAACAGGTAAATATCGGGAAGATGGATTCACCCATTGAAAAGTGGAATCTAATAATTGGCAACTTGGCTTTAAAACAAGTAAGTGATGCACGCATTTGTTTATAGACCTTGGATTTACAGCTCTGGCTGCTACCTGTGGAATGGAATACATTTTAGTCAAGCCAGCCATTTGACTGTTTCAGGGGGCCCACGATGATGATGTAGTGCTGGGAGAAGGGGTAGGATGCACGCACATCCGTGACTCGAAAGTTTTCTTTGTCTAGAAACTGCTCATGTTCTTCTAAATATGAAAAACAGGTCACATACAAAGTATAGAAAATACTTTCTACCGTAAGTGTGTAGTAGAGCCAGAATTTGAGTTAATATCTGTACAAGTACATATTTAGCATTTCTTGGCCTAGGTACTATTTTTCTACTTTGATATTTTATACAAATCCTCTTATTTAATTAAACTTTGCTCTTTTTTAATTTTATTTTTTTACTTACTATTTTTGGGGTTCTTGTAAGAGTTTATTTCAGTCAAAATGAGGATACATCCCCAAGAGCAAGATCTCAAATGCTCCCAAGAATCCTTAACTCTTTTTTTTATATAATGTGGTCAGATGTTTGATTAAGCTGAGTTTTCCTTAATTTGCGAATAATACTAATGTTAATGTACATGAACATATTAAATTGTCCATTATGTACACATAAATTTACATAGAAATTATCTACAGTTCCTTCTCATTTCAGGTGACTCTCTCTTCTTTTCCCACCACCTTCTTGCGTCTCCAGGACACAGGAAGGCAGCCACCTGAGTAACTCTAGCATTCTAGCAAGTGCAAGCTTAGGAAATGCTTACTTTTTTTTTCTTAAATCCTCACCTGAGGACATATTTTTCTTTGTTTTTAGAGAGAGAGGAAGGGAGAGAGAGAAACATCAATGTGAGAGAGAAACACGGATTGGTTGCCTCTCATGCACACCCCACATAGGGATTGAACCCACACACCCTGGGTATTTGCCCTGACTGGGAATCAAACTGGCAACATTTCATTTTATGGGATGATGCTCCAACCAACTGAGCCACACTCTCCAGGAATGCTTAGTTATTTTAGTGACCTAGTTAGGTCAACTAGGGCATCATGTTGAGAACATGGTTGCGGAAGAGGAATTTATTATATCGCATTTCAAAGGCAAGGACATTTTGGAATATAGACTATTAAAAAAATCATGAAACTACTACTAAAGTCAAAAGGTTAGAGATAATAAAATGTGGCATCTAATCTTTAATCTCAGCTCTGACTTTACCCAGCTATATAACCTTTGTTAACTTCCTTAACCTTTCTGGACTTACTTTTCTTCTTTCGAGTCCTGGCATTGCATTAGAGATGTCCGTGATCCTCGTCAGCTTGAGACTGTAGGAATCTGTGCAGGGATGATAATCAAAATGTATACCAACCAGTAGACTACTATAATTTAATCTATAAATAAAACTTTGAAATCATATTTTTAATTTAATTTAATTTTTTTAAATATCCTAAACTCTTACCAAGTAGTATGCGCTGTATCCATCAAATCATTCCAATAATTCCCATCTCAGCATTTAATCTTTGCTTCCACTCTTGGTCTGAGACTTTCCCTTGTCATCCTCTCTCCCTGCGACTGTCCGTCAGGGTGGGAGCCAGAGGTGGCTGGGGACTCACTGATCCCAGAGGCCATGTCCTGAAGTCCGTGTCTGCCTGCCTCACTCCGCCAAGAATGCATGAGAAACAGGGAGGCCCATGTAGGCCCATGAGGACACAACTGGTGCCAGCCAGTGAGGCAGCTCCTGGTCGGGGCCAGTAGAGAGAACAGAAGGGAGAAAACAAGAGGGGCCAGGCTGGGGTGATGGTGGTAGTGCTCTGCCTGAGGCTTTGTCTGCTAAAGCCTGGGAAGGAGGAGATGAGCTTGGGGAAAGGGAAGGGATGGGCAGAAAAATGGC